ATGGGGGGCACCGTTTCCGTCCAGTGATCAAACAATCATAGGTCAACAGATCACGTAGTTCTTCTTCATAGATGCAAAGGCCTTTATGGTTTGAAGCCATTGCTACCACCCTGCCATTTGTCCACCCTGGCTGTTAGCCCCATGCTGCAGTTGGATATACATGCACATGGATCAAGATGTTGCAGGATGTTCATTATATGCACTTATACTTATATGTGGAATATATATTTGATATCATATACATATATGTTCATGCATAAGGATTGTTCCAACCATGCATCCAGGCCCCTTCCCATGTTGAGCGCCAAGCGCCATTTCCAACCATCCGGGCAAATCCATTGAGCTCAGGCTCAGCACCTGGCATGGCGCGGCGGCATGCAATGCTGTGAGGCCGCAACTGGGGACAAGCGGGGGGAACAAACATACATGATGTCAGTTTTTTCTTGAGGGCATCACAGGATCAAAATGATTTTTGTGTACATAATGTTTTGTGAGTTCATGTCGGTTCCTTCCATCCCTATACATTCATATATAAATATTCTATAGGTTGTGGTGGGATACCAGGGAAGGATGATAGAAAACCCATGCAATTGCAGGTACAATTAGGCCCTTTTTTCCACGCCATCAGCTCATGTTGTCACTGATTGCTTCGGCACACAAAATCCGAAGTCATTCATGAGAAGAATGAAATCCATGTGTTGATCAATCACATGGCCCCTGGAACATTGATGGGCAATCCTTGATGCCACAAAAGAGGAATCTACCAATCCTCAGCGTCTGCCGCTTCTTTGGCTTTCTTCTTGATAGCCTTTTCCAAAGCCCTTAGGTCAATCCCACTTGATAGGAAACAAAAATTGCTCAGTACAATAACCAAAATATCAAAATGTGGTGTCAACAGAGGACAGTTTGACATATCCTGTGTCCATTTGTTACCTCCATACGTGCAGGTCAGTTGCTTGCCCTGGGCTTCCAAGGAGCTCAGCTGCGCAGCCCTGAAGTTGGGAAGTGTCAGCGATGCTGGGATCAGTGACGTAAGATATTCCATGTGTATATGTTTCCTTTCAATATGTCAATGGAAGATGATTGATAAACCAACGAACTAGTGTATGTGTATATAGATATGCATTCATTGCAATGTAGATATGTGATGGACACAGTTATGAAATATGACTTTCAATTCAACTCTATGTCAAAATTCAAAAAGATAGTCAACCTACTATCAGGACTCACTGTAAATTGAAATATATAAATATATGGTGATGTTTTTGGATTGGCATGGTGAACACTATTTGCAACCCAAGGTTCTTGCCCATAGCAGCTTTCATCCTCTTGCGAAGATCTGCAGTGTTCCTCATGACATGCCATGGCAATAACAATCTAAAATTTTGGATGGATAGCTAAAGGCTTTCATCCGGACCTATATCACCGCATATCTATATTGGAGATATCAGGCTGTGGATATATTTGCATGTAAATATATGCGATATTGAAACCATGACCCAAAGGTGGGGAAATAAACAATCTCAGCTGGCATGGCATCCCACTTGATGCACATGGAACTTAATTGCTTGGCAAAGATCCCACATAACCCAAAACCAAGAGTCTCATCATTTCTGTCAGCTTTGGTCATCATCGTGGATCGCAACTCCGCAAAGGAATCGTATGCTCCTTGGGCTTCATCAACCTTTTTCTCCAAGGCCTTGATCAACCTTGGAGGGCGGCTGGTGGTGGTAGGATGCGGTACAATGTGGTAGTGGTTCATTTTAAGCCCTCTAAATGTATCAGTATAAAATATTATATATAAGCATGTATACATTTATAAATGAAGACATCACAATATTGAGCAATGGACGATTGCACACGTTTGCGGTCACCCTCAGCAAGGCCATCGTAAGTCTCCAGTCGGCTCATAAGGTCAGTGATCTTAGAAAGTTTCCCAAGCATGCCATCATCAAACTTCTTCTCGGTTTCCATTTCCTCAGGAATAGTGATATCAAGTGTTGCAGGAATCAAAACCATAGGTATAGTAAGTTTCATCAATCCAGTTTATGCATGATCATGGGTAATCATGTGTGCAGATGGTGCAGCCCAAAGTCACCAGCCATAGGGTCCTGGGCCTCATTCTTGCCAGGTTCATCCCCATCACTATCATGGCCCCGGAGTGGTCCATCAAGAAATCCACCCTTAAGCTTCACATCATCTGCCTGCAGCACAGGTGTATTATGTATAGTTGATCATTGTACCATAACAGGCACCAATGTATGGCACACAGTGTTCATTGAAATATTTGTAATATATATATATATATATAATTATATATATACATATAATGTAAAACGAAAACAATGCAGACAATAAGAGTCTTATCGTCTGTATGTATTTTAAATATCCAGAGCTGACCTACCAGAGAAAACAAACGACTTGAGAGCCTTTTCCTTCTCCGAAACACGTCGTTCCGTTTCACTGTAGGTCTTCTTCTTGGATTGCTTGTCCGAAAACTCTACAAAGTATTTGTAGACCTTCTTGCTGTATTTGTCTTGCCTTGGGTTACATGGGTTACAAGCAATCATTTTCACTTGATTAGTGTATGTGTGTTTTCCCAATTGCATCTATATATGTGAATTGCTTCAGACATGTAATCTTGGGCAGCAATCTTGCAGCCCTAGCTTCTTGACCAAACCATGCTCCTTGCAGTACGCCACCACATCTTTGATATAGGGCCTTGGATACGGCGATGCATGTGGAAACAAACGAACCCTGGCATAGACAGATGGAAATGCCCCAAACAAAATGAAACTTGTATAGTAACTCTATATATACACCTAAAAATAACAAAAACAAATTGGAGTTTTAACCAGCAAATGTCAGATAAGTGTCGTGGTCCACTTGAGTTCGGTCTTCATCTGATCTGGTGTGAACCATCCAGAATCAACGGATTGGGTATCTTCATTTTTCTTCTCGATGATCTTGACAGCTTTGGATACAAAAGCCGCCTATATACATGACATCAGTGGATTCAGAGTTGGAATCAAAGAAAGACCAAGTATACTCAGTTTGTAAACATCACAATTTTACCGCATATACACGCCCAAAAAAGTTCGGAGCAACATCTATAATTACAACAGTTTCAATTCATTAAGATCCATCATTGGTCATCCCAAATGAAATCTGCAGTAAGCTAGAGCCTTGTCAAGCTCCATTTGTTCAAAAAGGACCCGAAGCTTGTCACGTTCACTTCCTCCAGCAGCCCACATGTTGTGAAGCATCTCTGGGACATTGCACTTGCCGTTCTTCTTCTTCTCGCAAAGTCGGCGGAGGCGCGCGTCCACCATCTTGAAGCGCTTGAGCGCCTCATCAGCTCCAGCATCCATGTCAGGCTCATCATCATCTGGGTCTTCCTTGGAGAAAGCAGGAGGGTAAGGTCTATCATCTATATTAAATGTTTCATAAAATTCATTCAGATTTTTATTATTATAAGATCAGCATTTGCAGGGTGATAGGGGGCAAAACTATACATCTTATATCTAAGCTAAAGTACTGGAGTGGGCACAGGTGTCCCCGGGGAATAAGATGACTCAGCAGCTTGGGAAGGCTTGGTTGTGGCCAGAGATGCCAATGAGGGTGCAACTGTTGTTGCAGAACCAGGTGACTGTTGCTGCAACCTCAAATGTTGAATCTCCAGCATGGCAGCCTTCAACTCAGCCTCAAGATCCCTGCCTTTTGGGTTCTCCTAGAAACAGGGTTCGCAAGTAGGCGATGGAACCAACATGTGAAAAAATCAAACAGACATGTTGGAAATATGGTATCTTATACAATTTCATCTTTAAGACTATGTTTATCAAAAAGGTATATCATGCCCCAAAAAAGACACTCCTGAGCCACAGGGGTTTTCTTCGGGGCAGCCTTGCTCTTCACCGATGAAAAACGTTGAGTCTGGTCCTTCCACATTGTGTTTGGCATGAAACATCGTGATGGAATTCTATGTGCTACACTTTGTAATGTTGATGTTGAATCAATTTAAGATTAAGGGCCCCATCTTTCAGTGAAATCCAAACACACATCAATGAAACATTAAAAAAACACATAGACCCTGTAATCCCCTACACCAAGGCAAGGCATGAACATTACATCAAAAAAATGTATATGTGGAAGTGATCATCAACGCATTTGCCACCACGATATTCATACTGCCACTTTTATATCTACAGGTCGTTCATGGGTATAGTATTTTATTTACATATAAATATATAACACACATGGGTATAATACGGTATATATATATAAATAAAAAGTATGATGAATATACATGAGCTCCAGGCCCCAACCTGATCTGTACGGGCTTTCTTGGTAAGCACAGAACTCTTGACAGGCGTGGTCTGCGTGGACAAAGGAGCACCCCGCTTTGGGCCATGGATGTCTGCAAGTTCAGCTTCAGTAGCCTGGGCCGAGACAATGGATGGAACCCATATTTCTACATCAATGGGTCAATGGGGACATGAAGGGGGTGATAAAACTATAACAACTATAGTCAAAGACGCCCGGTAGGCAGAGACTTTCCTGCTTACTGCATATGGAAATTGGCTAAATTTGGGTGATATCCGGGGTTTTGACTCAGAGGCTTATGGGTCGGAGTGCTGAACTTGAGCCAATTGACCCCCCCAGTAAGCAGAAAATCATGTCGTGATAACCGGTGGATAATTTTCCATCTACTTAATTCTGCTTACTGCATTCGCGTTCCTGATGGCCCATCTGCTCAAGATCACAAAAGACATCCAAGCATTGTTGTGAGTATAAATTTAAATATAAATATAAATATATATATATATATAATATTTATATGTGTGTGTGTAAAGAATTTCAAAGGTAAGACGCGCTCCAACTCTGAAGCGGTTTGATTTTCCGCAGGTTTACATTATGTTCCTGTTCTCAAGCAGCTCTGTTTGAAAAAAATGCAATTTTAAAGGCTTTTTGTGATTTCCACTTTCCCTTCCACAATCCCCATGGCGGAGTCTGACAATGTGCTGGTGAATCTCCAACGGTGGGCACAGCATGCGGTGAACCATGTCAAGGGTGGACATGGGTCTGGGGCATTGCTGTGGGAGACCCGTCCTATTGGAAGCAGCAGCATGTTCAGTGGGACCTGCTATCCAGAGCGCGCGCTAGCTTACATAGGAGCTGCGAGGAAGATGCAAGACCCAACCCTGAAAGAGTTGACCGCCCCTCGGCTTTGCTAGAAAAATACAATAGACATATATATAAATATATATATGTACATATTTTCCAAAATCCATAGCCTACAGGAAGCAAAATGGTGATTCTGCTTACTCGTGGGGGCTGGAAATAGCTAAGAATTCTCCATATTTTGCAATTTTTCCCCACTTGAAAGCAAAAGGTGCTCAATTTCAAGGGTTATAGGAAGCAGACCGTTGATTTTGCTTAATGGTGGGGGCATGGAAATAGCTAAGGAACCCCTGTGGACGTGTGAGATTGACAGCAAGGCTCGCGGCTCCCAGAGGGATTCTCTTCCTCCAACTGCTTGTAAGTTTGAAAACATCGAGCATTTTATCAGCCCGAAAGCACTGGCAGAGATGAAGAAAGTGAAGATCAAACACAGCACCAAGCGATTTCAGAAATGGTGGGGGATTGCCAGTAAGGCCACAATGTGCACACATGCCTATTGTTCACAGCATCTACGCAAGCGCTTTGGCTACTTTTGTTTTTTACATTTGAGACTGTTTTGCAACGAAATCAGTAAGCAGATTCTCAAATCTGCTTACTGCAGGTGCACGCACAAGCTTATATATATATATATGTATCCATCTACATGGATAATGAAACATATGGTATATATATATATACATCTGAACCGGTGGAAAATTGGGATAGTGTTGCGCGGTTCCCCTCCAAAAATCTATGTGGGACATTTTCACTGGTTCAAAAATAACAAAATTGTGATACATAGATACTTTTCTTATATTTTTTGGGGAAACGGTCCATTTTGGCATCCCCAGGTGCCCTATCCGAGACAGTTTCCTGGACGTGACAGGGAGCATTTGCAAGAGTTTTTCATCGTTAGGCAACCTTGAAGGAGAAGATTCGGAAAATTCGATTCTGTTGGTCATTTGGATGGTATTCAACTTTCGGCGTCGCACAGCTATCTTGACCCATGAGAATGTGCGAGGATTTGTCTCACAACTCATCTCGGACGAGGCATGCAAAGCAGGTTACAACCATGTGCAGGCAAAGTGTCACCCGAGAGACGTCGGCATTCCGGTCGGAAGGCCCAGAAAGTATTTTGGCTTTAAAAAAAGCAATGATCACCTTGTTTTCTCAAAGTATATTTATGTGTATTTTTACCTATGGAAACCGTTGATTATATATATATGTACTGCAGAAAGCAGAATTTGATTCTGCTAAGTGTCCACCAAGGCGTGTGAGATCTATACAGCAGGTGCAATAAATCAATGTTAGAAACTCTTTAGGGATGAAATCAAAGTCTGAACCGTTGGAAAACTGCAGTTGAGGGGCCCTGAAAATTCAACCAATTCAAACACCATTTCCAACGGTTCAGAAGGATTTAATAATCGATTTAGCCCCCGAAAATAAATTCTTTTCTGATTGTACATATATATATATATATGTGTATATATATATGTGTGTATTTGTGTGTGTGTTGATATTTAGAAGGCAGCCCACCCAGGTTTATACAATATATGTTTTCAAACAAGCACAGGCAGTAAGCAGAAATGACAATCTGCTTACTGCAGTCATGAGATTTCAACAAAATGTGTTGTTTTTTTTTGGTAGTTCTACCGGTGTGGCAAAAACAAACTGATTTGGCCTTAAACTTTTGTTTTTGGCTTATTTTGGAAACTCAACCTTTCAGGACAAAGCAGGGCTAGGAATTCCAAAACCTTGCTTTCGGGGCTCTAAAAGTGTTCAAGCATTCTGTGATACATGTTCAATATTTGTATACGGATCCTGTCCTTTCAAGAAACAGAGAGAGCGAGGGAGAAAATTCTATATATATATATATATGTTTATATTTGTACAAATGGATTCCCTACTGTTTATGCATTACATTTTGCATATGAACTTATTGATAGCTTGCCAAACACACACACATATATATGTATTCATCATTCATTTTTATATACATATGTAATTATATGTGCTCGCCTAAGCCCCCACACTGGCGCAAAGGTTTGACATCTACTATCACCCCGACAAATTGGACCTGATCGGCGACATTGCCAAGACCTACAATGAGCTCGCAGCAGTGGTTCTTGATCAACTTGGCAAGCTGGGCATCAACGACCTCTTTTTCGAGACTGGCGAGAAAGCACTCCGCATGGAGATGTACAGGATGAGTTGCACCAGCGCAGAAGGACAGAGGGGGGTCTGCAGTAAGCAGAAACAGGATCTGCTAACTGGAAATGGGTTGACACTCAGCGAGTTTACATGGGTAAATCAGCAGACACACACATTGATGCATGTATATATATATATATGTATGTCTGTATGTATGTATGCATGCATGCATGCATGAAAGTATATGTGTTTTATTATATGTAAATATGTGATATAGTCCAGGTTCTATAAGTCCTTCCACGTGCGCAACCCCTTCGGGCTCAAGCAAGTTTTCTTTTAACTAAAACTAAATATAAGGGGATGAAAAAGAAACGACCCAGCCTGGAAGAACTTTGGAATCATGGCACGTCTGAAGATATACAAGCATATTTGAACAGTTTGAAAGGCGAGGAATCCAACAAGGAGAAGAACCTTGAGAAGGCAAGGGAACCTCCTGCTGATAAAAGGCTGAAGCAGGAAACAGAGTCCAAAAGTAACGCCATGAAGGATGAAGTAGGGACAGAAAAAGGCAAAAAAAAGGATCCCCGTGATGACCACCAAGCAGCAACCAGCAGAAACGTGGGAAAGGATGAAAACACAACAGAAGAATCAAATGTGCTCGTTCCAGGCAGATACCAGTTCGCAAAGGAGCTTGGACCTAGTTGGCAAAACAGGAAACGCCCTAAAAGGCCAGTTCCTGCAGGCCGGGTCTAAAAGTAGCCCCCCAAAAAGGAAACAGCGCATGCATGAAAAAACATAGATACACACACATACATAATCACACATTCATCATCATCCATTATATATACACATATATATAGATATACATTACATATATATGTTTGCGTGTGAATGCAACATTTGGGTTCCAAGCCCTTCTAAAGCAGCTACTGATCGTGTGTTGAGCAAGCTCTAGAGAGTTTCTTTTAGGTGTTTTCCAGTTGAGCTGCCATGGCCTTTCTCGCTGGGCTCCTTGCTGGAGTGGCCGCGTTCGCTTTGTGGCTAGTGCTTACGTTGAAGAGTACTTGGGCTACTACATTTCTGGCCAAAAGATTGATTGCGGGCATGAGCACAGGGCGCAAGCGAGAAATTTTAGTCTTTATCACCAGCTACGTGCAAGATGTGGCTATTGATTCTGACGATGATCACTGGTCTTTGGTTTCAGAGGAGTCTCCCTCTTCCTCTCCTCGAAATTATACAACTTGTCGACATTTGAAGGCTACGTGGCATGGCTCAAACCAATACCAACGACGCCTGACGTGCAAAATTTGTGGAAAGATTTTGTATTTCCAGGATTTACGGGCAGCACCGAAGTCAGCCAAAAAGTTGAAGAAATCAACCAAAACGGCTTGATTTTGCTATGGTGTTTTCTGCAGAACTCTCTCAAAAGAGACTTTGATCAAAATTGAATTCCCCTTTTACAGACCGTTCATCGCTGCAGGGCAAAAGACAGTTATAGTAAGCAGAATGCCAATTCTGCTTACTGCATTCCCTGATGTGGGATGTGTGTTTGCAGGGTATAAGTTATATAAGCATCTACGTATGTCTTGTCTACGTATATATACCCAAAAAATGCAGATGTGGATGTTTTACATGAGGGACCTTCTCTTTCTCTCTCTAATATAAACATATATGGATATATACATATGTTTATATCATATGAAAAATACAGCTAGATATATAGATAGATTTTAAATGCTCATGAGCATGTGCAACTATATATTCCGTTCTGCCCCAGACCTTTAACAAAATGGGTTTGTTTAACTTGAAGTTGTTGGCCACAATATTGAATCACAAGCTATTTTCATGGGCTCAGCAGGCAACATATATATTTATATTGTAAAATTTGATGGACTACACATATTTCTGGCAAAACATGCATTTCCCGTTGGATTCCATCCAATCAGTCCTTCTAAAACCAGCAATTGCAGTAAGCAGAATCTCAAATATGCAAACAATAACCCTGGGTTTTTCAACAGTGTTTGCAACCATATATATATATATATATGTCAGCAATTCTGCACCGGCCAGGAGACCCAGAAACTATGGATGTTTCTGATTGGACCACGCTTCTCACTGGCAAGGAAGCAACCAACCTTGAGAAGTACAGGGAGAAGCTGCTGGTCAGGAAAGATCGCGTACGGGTTTTTCATGTTTTTCCCTTTGAAACCTATCTATGGGGAGGAGCCGAAGTATTGATTTTGTGCGTGTGTGTGTGTTCTGACCCCTTCCTCCATTTTGAAGTTTTTTTTTGCAAATTGTTTTACAATCCATATATATATATTGATACAGTTCATGTTTGATCGTTTAAGGATTATTGCCTGAACTTTAACGAATTGCAGCGTGGAATGAAGTAAGCATAATACTGGTAAGTGTAGATAGGCACACGAAGGCAGGTCAAGACCAAAAATGTGTATAGGTAAGACCTTTTTGAACTTGCCGGGGTCAAGAAACAAGGTTTCACGCAAAATATGGAGACCTTGATCTACCAGCAGTTTTTGCATTGGCGCAAAACCCAGACAAGATGCCAACGATGACTTCAGCTCAGGGCCTGTTACCTTGCTTTACCACCACTGGGACCAACAGGTTATGGCATGATGGGTTGAAACGCTGGATGAGTGCTCGAGAAAAAATGTGTGCCAGCGGTCTCCCTGTGACAGAGGAGCAAGCGAAAGCGGCAAACATCCCGAGACATGCAGATTGGGAAGCTGATTGGGGGTGGCACAAGAGGGTGGGAAACGGCCAGCAACTTCAGAATGTGGGGCTCATCTTGATTGCCATCCTGTCCAACTTGAAGCTCAAGGACACAGCCCCTTCCAACATCTTGGAGCTCCAGCCCCCTTCGGAACCAGAAGGACTAACACCGCTCAAGGATGGATCCTACTTGCTTTCCATCGCTGGAATTGGATTCAAACTGGCCACCAAGGATCTTGCCTTGCAAGCACACCAAGCCTTGCATGTGCCTTTGCTGCGTTATATAATACTCTTCAAATTGTCACACAACAAACCACTGCAGTAAGCAGATTCCAAATCTGCTTACTGTATAACCAACCAGTGTAGTCGTTTTTCCCTCGACAAATGAACGTACTTGAAAATAAACATGACGAAATGTCAATTTCCAACACAAATTGTGACCGCAGAATGCCATGGCAGAATACATATATATATAATTCTCATCAAAGTTTGAACCCTTGGAAAAATTGACGTTTGGGTCATATTCAAACCCCAAAGATGGTTCATAAAAAGCAACAACATAACCCCTTCATTTGATTTTCAAGGGTTCAAAAGAAGCTATTTGATAACATAATATACGTATATATATATATATGCATGTGTATATATATATATCATGTTTTCTTCATGTGTGTATTCTTCATGGGATGGATTACTGCATACACTCTATCCCAAGCAGTATTGCCCCCCGACAGAAAGCAGAATCCTGATTCTGCTAACTGCAAAGGAGAAGAATCTTGAGCTGCGGAGCATGAACGTTCCAGACTTGGCACTTGAAATGGCCAAACTCGTGACCGGTGGGGTGCCAGCTTCATTTCACAAAGCAAAGAAGGATGGCAAAAAAGAGCAAGTTCTTCAGCAATGGTTTCAGCAGGTTCTCATCCCCAGCTATGAAACTGAGGGGGGGGGAGGCCTCAAGCAATTGTCAGCTGAAAAACCACCCAAGAAAGGAGAGAAAAGCACAGAACCGACACCGTCAGCCAAGAAGCTAGACACCCTAGAAAGTTTGCAGGGCCACAAGCCAGAGGTTCTTCCCGGGGTGGTTGAGGAGACACCAGAACTGATGGCAAGGATCCTGATTCTAGGTCAAAACTGGGCAGATCTTGTGATGGCAGGAGAAAAATGCATCGAGTTGCGAAAGACAAGGATATCTTCTTGTAAGCAACCAGAAATGATGTACTTGGGAGTCAAAGATACAATTTTTGCTCGGTGCCTAGTTTGCCCTGGTGTGAAAATCGAGAACGAAGAGCAGTTCAACATGTTGAGGAATGGTCACCGATGGGAAGGTGAGAAGCTTCCCTACGGCTTCCCGTTCATGGGGCATGCCTTGTTGCAGGTTCAGGCATTGAAGCCTGTTGAATTTCAAAGGGTGTGGGGCACTATTGGTAGGGCCTTGTATCGGCCTCCTGGTTTCGTGGGGCTTCCCGAGGATGGAGAAGAGGAAGGAAAAGGCTCTTCAGGCTCAAAGGTTGCAGAAGAAGATGCACAAGACAAAGGAGAGGCAACAAGCTCAAAAGGCAACGTGGCCAAGAAAAAGGGATCTCAAAAGGAAAAGACAGGCAAAAACACGACAAAGACCAAGCAGAACCAAATCAAATGCCTTCCACCATCTGCGCTTGAAGGCCAAACGGTGGAGACAGTTGAGCCTACCGAGCACCTTCAACCTAGCTCGCAGAGGCTTGAAGCAAAGCAGAAGCAATTGCAAAGGAAAAGGGATGCAGACAAGGCTGATGTTCACATCTCGGGAGGGGCCTTGGCACACCTCAACAACCTTGCCTTTCCACGCGGTCCCTCAAAGACAGCTGCCTACTTGTTGGGGGAGGTTGGCAAAAAAAAGTCTGTTTCAGTGAAGTCTCTCTGGATTCCAAGTTGGGAGGCGCAGGGTGAGATGGAGAAGTGGACTGTGAACGAAGCCGGTTTGAAAAAATGGGCCAAAACTTTCCGACCTGCTCTGGCAGTGGTGGGGCTTTGCCTGGTGGTGCCAGATCAGGACACTCCTGAAGTGTCAGCGCTCATGGCCTTTGATCAAATTTTGAAAGAAGCTTCCCCAAAGGAGCTGATCTTTGGTTTGGTTGGAAAAGACAAGTATTGCAAAATGTACCACATCGTCGAAGATGTTGCACAAGAGTTACACCTTGAAGTTCACTGGGTGGGAGATGCCTCCCTCTACACTGCCCACGTGGTAGCTCAAGAGCAGAGGACAGTGAAGAAACCAGAGTCACGGCAGAAGTGAGCTTGAGGAAAATAGCAGAGCAACTCCAGAATTTGGCAATTTTTTTGCTGGAAAACTTGCAGAATTTCAACCAGGAACGTGACGCCAGCATGCAGAGCAAATATGCAGAATGCTTGGCAGCCTATCCCTTGGCACAGCTTGAGCTCAGCAAAGTTACACCCAAATCAAGCATGTGCCCAGAAAGTGTGCAAGAGGCAGGGCAGAGAATGGCAACAGTTCTGCAGCTGAAGGGCACCCTGGAGCTTCGTCTGGCAAAAAGGCAAATGAATCAATCCCACACCTACGATGGTTGCAAATATCTCAAAAGGTCTGTTACCAGTCAATGCAGCAGCACATCCACACGAAGGTCCAAGCGCAGCAGGACTGCTTCCTCTTTGTCTACACCAGCAAGCGAGAAGGGAGATTCTGCACCCACCGAGGAGGAGAATTGGGTGGGAATTTGACACCGACATGTGTTGGTATGCTTCTGAAAGCTAGCTTACTAATATGCTTTCAAACATGCTGGTACATTAGATTTTTGTACATGCATAAAACAAATAATATATATATATATATTATATATTTTTGTTTGAAGCTATTTAGCTAATCAAAGTTGTTTCATTATCGTCATTCATGGTCTCGCTGCGGAACCACCCCTTTGACACAGGAACATGCGAAGAGCCTGTTGCAACCCAGAAGCTTGAACAGTTCGTTTGAGGAGGCAACTTCTCCGGGTGTTTCTTGGGAAGTACCCTGAATTCGCTTTGGGCCTCCTATATTTTATTATAATTCCTTGCAAATTGCGCAGCTCATTGATAGATGCACGTCCATGGGTCGAGAACAATATCTTTTGCTTATCTAAAAGGCCGAAGTAGTATATATCTGCACACTGTACAAACACTTGGGGACTCCGCTCAGGAACTGTTTGCATGCCTGCCCCGGTGAGGTTGCTGATGGCAAAGATGTACCGCCTCCTCTTTGTGATTTCGAGGATGGACTTTTTAAAGATCCCTGTCACAAGTACCAAAGAAGTCTACCATCATAGGGGAATCCGGTAGCTACTGCAGTAAGCAGATTCCAAATCTGCTTACTGTATAACCAACCAGTGTAGTCGTTTTTCCCTCGACAAATGAACGTACTTGAAAATAAACATGACGAAATGGCAATTTTCCAACACAAATTGTGACCGCAGAATGCCATGGCAGAATACATATATATATATATATAATTCTCATCAAAGTTTGAACCCTTGGAAAAATTGACGTTTGGGTCATATTCAACCCCCAAAGATGGTTCATAAAAAGCAACAACATAACCCCTTCATTTGATTTTCAAGGGTTCAAAAGAATCTATTCGATAACATTGTATATATATATATACATAAATCTATCTATTTACCTATCTATCTATCTATCTATCTACCTATCTATCTATCTATCTTTGTGTATATATATATATATATTGCATGTTTTCTTCACGTGTGTATTCTTCATTGCACTGTTTATATACATGAATTTCATCATTTTCATTGTTTTTTCAATGCTGTTGCATGTTTTAAAAAAAGAAACATTGTTTTCAGTGTTTCTAGATGATTTTTTTTATCACGTTTCATTGTTTTGTTCAATGTTGTTTAATTGATTTTCATTGTTTTGTTCAATGTTTTTCAATGATCTTCATCATTTTTCATTGTTTTAAACCAACATTCAAACACAATTACAATGATGAAACATATGTCAAAAACATTGAAAAAGCAATAACATATGATTAGAATCATGTAAAAAAATACGAAAAGCAATGAAAAATATGAAACACATGTAAAAAAACATCGGAAAAACAATGAGAAAGTAGCCACTGCAGTAAGCAGATTTGGAATCTGCCTACTGTCTGCTGCATGAAAAATGATGAAAGCATTGAAAAAACATCAAAAACATGATGAACACATTGAAAAAACAATGAAACATGATGAACACATTGAAAAAAACAATGAAAAATGATGAACATATTGGGAAAAAACAATGAAAAAATGCTGAACACGTAAAAAAACAATGAAGAATGATGAACACATTGAAAAAACACTGTAAAATGATGAGCACATTGAAAAAAACAATGAAAAATGATGAAAACATGAAAAAACAAAGAGAAACACAATAGACAAATGATGAACACATTGAAAAAAAAACAATGAAAAATGATGAGCACATTGAAAAAAACAATGAGAAATAGAAAATACATGCAAAAAATATCGGAAAAAACCATGAGACAGCAGCCACTGCAGTAAGCAGATTTGGAATCTGCTTACTGTCTGGTGCATGAAAAAATGATGAACACATTGAAAAAAAGAAAAAAATGATGAAAATATTGAGAAAACAATGAACAAATACTGATAATATTGAAAAAACAATATAAAAAAAAGCCCGAGGACTTCGACCCGACAGCGTCTGGCTCGAGGACTTCGACCCCTACAGGGTCGTTTTTCCGCTAACGCGCGCGCGCGCGTTAGCGGAAAGACTTGCCCGAGGACTTCGACCCATCCACCTGGGGCACTACAACGGGGTACTACAACGGGAAACACAACGGGGAAACTAAAAGGGAACAAAACGGAAAAAAAAAAATGAAAAAAAATGAAAAAATGAAAAAAATGAAAATCATATCTATATATAAATTTAAAATGTTTTAAAACAATATATTTATTTAAATCAAATGATTAAAATGAAAATTACATTTTTTTTTTAAAGTTCTTTTGCTTTCAATTTATTTTTTTTAAATATATTGTTTTAAAACATTTTAAATTTATATATAGATATGATTTTTTCATTTTTTTCATTTTTTCATTTTTTCATTTTTTTCATTTTTTTTCCGTTTTGTTCCCTTTTAGTTTCCCCGTTGTGTTTCCCGTTGTAGTACCCCGTTGTAGTGCCCCAGGTGGATGGGTCGAAGTCCTCGGGCAAGTCTTTCCGCTAACGCGCGCGCGCGCGTTAGCGGAAAAACGACCCTGTAGGGGTCGAAGTCCTCGAGCCAGACGCTGTCGGGTCGAAGTCCTCGGGCTTTTTTTTATATTGTTTTTTCAATATTATCAGTATTTGTTCATTGTTTTCTCAATATTTTCATCATTTTTTTCTTTTTTTCAATGTGTTCATCATTTTTTCATGCACCAGACAGTAAGCAGATTCCAAATCTGCTTACTGCAGTGGCTGCTGTCTCATGGTTTTTTCCGATATTTTTTGCATGTATTTTCTATTTCTCATTGTTTTTTTCAATGTGCTCATCATTTTTCATTGATTTTTCAATGATTATTCCATGTTTTTAAATTGCCTTTCATCATTCTTCAATGTTTTTCAATTGTTTTTCATCATTGTCATTTCTTCAATGTTTTTCATCATTTTCCACTGATTTTCTAATGTTTCTACATTTCCATAGATTTTTGATAATTGTTTACATGTGCTTCATCATTTTTCATTGATTTTTTTTATGTTTTATCTATATTTAAATAATCGTATATTAACGGCTTTAAGTAGCTAGAAAACATGAATGACGGGTTGCGTGCATTTGCTAGGACAACAAGTCCGATGACGAGATGAAGGGGGCGGCTATGGTGGATGAAGCTGTGTATGAGGCTCCAGGGCTTGAGGCTTGAGGGTGAAGCAGAAATCAGAACTGTATGGATCATTACATGTACATATCTGTATATATTTGAAGACTATGTGTAGGACAGATCTTCTTTAAAGGATCCCATTACAATTATATACCAAACAATGTTTAGCCATGGGGAACCCGCTAGCTACTGCAGCAAGCAGATTTGGAATCTGCTTACTGCAGTCTGCACTTGTTTTGGTGCCTCCAGCAACCCTACGCTCTGTAGCGCGTTCGTTCTGCCCAATTATACGTATACAAAAATAAATATCAGTATAAACATGAATAAATACACATATATATATATGTATATAAATTTATATATATATATATATTTATTTAAATATATTTGTAAAATATTTATTTATTTATATATATATTTATTTAAATATTATCTAAATATTATATGTTTCATATGTATATATATATAGTCGATAGAATATATATATATATATATGCAATTTCAACAAAAATGTTGAAACAAATTGCAGTTTTTGCCAAAACCACCCAAAATGCAGCCCTTCAGGAAGACCCTGCGAAGCAAGATGAGATGAGACTTGTGCCTGCTGAGCCCCATGTGCAGGCGCTTGGGTTGGGATTGAGGCGAGCACAAAATCTGAACCGTTGGAAATTTGGGCATTTTTCTTAGACCCCAACCAATCCATATATATAGTTATATAATAAGTTCGAGCCATTTTCAACTGTTCAGAAAGAATTGGCCCATACAAAAAGTATTGAAGATGGGGTTTCCGGTGTTTCAATATTGGACAACAGTATAGTAAGCAGATTTGCAGATCTGCTTACTACACACATTCTGTTTTGAGGACCCCTTCCATGATTAATGTATATATGGACGGGTGTGTGAGAGTTGGGAAGCCTGGGGAACACAAATTTCTGCCAGTCGACAAGATTCCAAAACAACATATATATATATATATGCTCGTGCATTTGTATAATTCTATGTAATTATATATATATATATATGTGTATATACATCTTTTTTACTTACTGCATGTGTGTTCAAAAATGAATATATATATATATATATCTCTATCTATCTATCTCTTTGTAGACATGCATAGAAGTATATCCATATTTTTTTTTGCATTTACCCTGCAGGAGGCTGTGGAAGAGGAGGGCGACCCCTCTGGAGAGGAAGATGAGGAACCGGAAAAGAAAGGTCGCAGTGACCCCAGGAACCGTTTTAGCATTTACCAAAAGATGCAGGCAATCAGAGAGATGGACCGATTGATTGAAAGCGGCCAAACAACTGGAATAGAAAAAGCCGTGATGAAAACATTTCCAGCGATTTTTTGTGGCTTGAAGGGAAACAAGAGTGGCATGTTGGGCCGTTGGAAGACACAGTGCGACAAACAGCGCTGGAGGGAAATCCCCTTTGAGAAGCTTTCAGTCGCTGACAGGCAAATGAAAGAATTGCCTGATTGGGTCAGGATTCCCTTGGGTTTGGTCCCTCGCAACTTGGAGCGCTTCAGGGAAGGTGGACAAGTGCCAGTTTGCATAGTCAACCAGCTGGTTGATCTTGTGGAGAAGCTGACAACTGGCTGTAATTCTGCTGCTTTGACAACAGGTACTTTGAATAGCAAGCAAATCCAGAAAGAGGCAGAGAGGCTCCTGAAAATCTACAACAAAGCACAAGAGGAGGCAGCTGAAGCAGCAGGAAAACCAGTTCCTCTAGCAAAAACCAAGATCTCTGACAGGCGGGCCAATCGGTTGTTGGTGAACTATGGGTGGAAACGCCACGCTCCAAACACATATGGCGCATACCTGGCTTACGACGACGAGCGCATGGTGAAATCTCGCAAAATGTTTGGATTCAGAAGGTGGGTGGGGAGCTATATGGGTGTTGTTTTCAACTTGTTTTTCCCCAATGAAGGCCTGAAGACAGGATAGCCCCAGTAAGCAGAATGTAAATCTGCTACCGATACAAGTGTATAGGTTTGTGCAGAAATTCAGGGTAGTTTGTGCTACCCCTGCAGGTTGGCCAACAACATCCGCTTGGACCTGTGCATCAACTTTGACCAGGTTTGGAAAAGTTCATGGGCAGAACCCAAGAGGGTTCTCCACCGTGTGTTTGACACAAATTGCCCAGCCCACCTACTGAGGGGCAAGAGGGAGTCTGCTGTGAAATTCTTGATGGGGCTACAGGAAAAGGCCAGCCAATGGCAAGTCAAGAAGAGAAGAATTCAAGGAAAGGGTTGCTTCCCTGTTTCACGCTCTTGCTGTTAATATATATATATATATACACACACATACATACATATTACATAAGGGAGCCACTGAGGTCACTGACACGCACACACAAATACATATGTATGCATGTACATACATATACATACTGTACATATATATAAATATGTACATCTACCGTGGTGGCAGGAAAAGAAAAAGATGCCAGGGCAGACAATGTGAGTTCTGCCCGGCACTCCTTCACACTTGTGACGTCCTTGTGGGGAAATGGAGAAGTGGGACCGTTGACGATCGTCCTACCCTTGGGTTTTCTCAAAGATGAGGAACGCGCTGATTTGGAGAGAAGGTTCAAGCCTGATGTGTTTTTTGTGTCATCGGGTCGTGCCTCCCACTTTATGAACGCGGAGGTGGTGGTGCAATTTTTTGACCACGTTCTTGTTGAGGCATTTGATCAACGCAGGCGCGTGCTTGGCGAGCGCTACGGCCAATCCTTCGAGTCAGAATGGGGCCTCATTCTGTGCGACAGTTTCACTGGACATCACTCAACCTCTGGGGGGGCAGATGTCCAGCGTTGCTTGGCAAAATATTTGATATACATAGCCACACATATATATATACAAATTTGTTGAGGAAAACAGTTGATTATGTGTGTACTCTGCAGTAAGCAGAATTTGATTCTGCTAAGTGCCCAGCAAAGCTTGTTAGATCTATATAGCGGGTGTGAGAATCAAATTTATAAGCCCTTTGGGGATGACATCAAAGTCTGAACCGTTGGAAAAACTCCAATTTGAGGGGCCCTGAAAATTCAACCAATTCCAAAAGCATTTTCAATGGTTCAGAAGGATTTAACCGATTTAGCCCCCGAATTTTGTGTGTTTTTTTATAAATATATATATATATATATATACGTATGTGTATGTGTGTGTATGTGTCGATATGTAAAAGGCAGTCCACCCAGGTATATACAATATGTGTCTTCAAACAAGCAAAGGCAGTAAGCAGAAATGAACGTCTGCTTGCTGCAGGCATGGGATTTCAACAGCATGCCCTGGTTTTTTTTGTAGTTCTACCGGTGTGGCAAGAACACACCAATTTGGTTTTGAACTTTTGTTTTTGGCTCATTTTGGAATCTCAACCTTTGGAAACTCAACCTTTCCAAAGCAAGGCTAGGAATTCCAAATCTATAGTTGAAAGAAACTATATACTTTTTTGAATGGTTGGTAGAAAGAAGGTTTCACAAAAAATGTGAGGGTCAAAGTTGTGTTTTGCAGGTGTTGTGTCCCCGTGAGCGGCACAAATGAGGTGAACACTTTTCAAGAAACAGCCGTGTGCTGCTGCCGGACAGGCAGCCAGGAGGTTGGTCTGCACGAGGTCAACCGTGCGACGCTGTGCATGCAACATTGAGAAAGTACATGGCGGAATGCACAGAGACAACCCTGGGTTATCGAAACTCTCTGATTGCAAGGGCCAGTAAAGACCCACTCCTGATGTCCAACTCAAACACCCGCTTGGCCATTTCACATGTAGACTCCGTGCTTTCAGCAATCTATGGCTGGAGAAAGTTGGGGTTGCAAAAGCACATGTTGAGGCAGGGGTGAACCAGTAAATGCCGAAAATAGGTTCCATTGGTAGGCAAAGTCACACTTCAGCATATCAAAAAAGGAAGACCCACTAGTTAGCAGAAAAACAACTGCTTACTACTGTAGATTCATTTTTGTTACCTTAGTTTTTGGGTGTCGGTTGCTGATGGCAGGTGGGCATGGCTAAGCCGTGGGATGGCTACGTATGATGACATGCAGGAGTTCAACCCGGGGATCGAGGGCATGGACAAGGAATCATTGAAGAAGGAGATGAGCGCTTGTGAGCTCAACGCCGAAAATTCTGAGACGTGGACATCATCCATTGAAGAGGTCTTTATGCAACCAGACGTTCAACGGACAACCTTTCTCTGGCAAATTGATCTCAAAAGCGAAGCTGAGGTAGCGTGGGAGGATGAAGAAGAAGACCAGGAGTTGAATTGGAGGTGTTTGCCAGCACATTGGCAAGCCATTCTCAACTCACGACTTGCAGAGTTCAACTCGAAGATTCAGGATGCAGAGGCATTCTATTTGCATCGCAAAGGAGAGTTTGGCGAGGGGGACGTGAAGACCAAAAATGCACTCAAAAAATGGGAGTCTTTGAAAGAAGGTGAAGGAGCAAGCAGCGTCATCTTGATTGCAAAGGGCACTGGCAAGGAGGCTTCACCCGAGGTCTACCACAGAGCTGTCTCCCGCTCGAAAGGTGTAGTCAAAGTACAGTGTGGACCAAAAATCACGGCATACAAGCTGAATGTGAAAGAAATGAACCTAGAATGTATGGACAGCACTAGCACTGAGGAAGATGGGAAAGTGCAGCATGATGCAGTGAGAAAGTTGCGGATTATTTCGGTCACAGGCCGTTCCAGGGAGTTGCAAGAAGTTCGCATTCACTTGACGGCTTTATCCTTGGCAACCAGTGATGTCCTGCAGAGCAGTGGACTACAACCCAGCAAAGGGGCAGCTTGCAACCTTGACATCGACAACATGGGCCAGACCGGTGACGACCATGAGACAAAGAGTGAGGAGCAGCAACCAGGACATACCAGAATGTGTTTTGTTCATGCCAAGCCTACAGTAAGCAGAAACAGATTCTGCCAACTGGCCCCGTTAAATATACACGCTACTTATTACACGCAAAATATTGAACAGAAATATATATATATATGTAAAGAGGGAGAGAGAAGATAGATGGAGGGATACAGTCAATAATAATAATAAAAATAATATATAACAATAATAATATATAACAAGAATAATATATAATAATAATATAAGATAATAATATATAATAATAATAACAATAATAATATATATATATATATATACATCTCCACACATACACATTTATAAGCTCTTTGGGGATGAAATCAAAGTCTGAACCGTTGGAAAAACTCCAATTTGAGGGGCCCCTGAAAAATTAACCAATTCCAAAACCATTTTCAACGGTTCAGAAGGATTTAACCGATTTAGCCCCCGAAAAAAAAAAAGATTATATATACACATGTATATATATATATATATATGTATATGCATGTGCATATATATACATATATATGTAGATATTTGGAAGGCAGTCCACCCAAGTTTATGCAGCAATTGTTTTCAAACAAGCAAAGGCAGTAAGCAGAAATGACAATCTGCTTACTGCAGTCATGGGATTTCAACAAAATGTGTTGTTTTTTTTGGGTAGTTCTACCGGTGTGGCAAAAACAAACCGATTTGGCCTTAAACTGTTGTTTTTGGCTTATTTTGGAAACTCAGCCTTTCCAAAGCAGGGTAAGGAATTCCAAATCTATAGTTGAAAGAGATGTTTTTTGAATTGTTGGTAAAAAGAAGGTTTCACAAACAAAAAACATGGTTGTCAAAGGCCCTAAGAAGGTTCCAAACTTGTTTCAAGGCAGTAAGCAGATTCCAAAATCTGCTTACTGCAGCCCCCAGCTCAAAGTGCATGAGTTCCTGGTGTTTGTAAGCAATTTTGATTGCAGTCTGCAGGAGAGGGCGCAGACGGCGACAACGTGGAAGAGCAACTCGTTGCATTGAATCAGGACGAAGGGGGATTTGAAGCTGCAGAGGATGGGCTGGAAGCCAACATCCCCATCGACCCTGAGGAAGAGGAGCACAACGCAAAAGAGTCGATCAATGTTGACAAGGGCGATGACTTTCCCTGCTTTGGCCAATCTCAGGATGATGCTTCGGACGAGGAGATTGTGTATGAGTTCAAGGATTGCGATGCCGCCTTTGAATGCGTGGCCACAGAAGCGACGTCTTCCTCTGAGCCGGCACCAGTTGGAGTGTCACCAGCTGGCACCATCAAGACTATGGCAGCTTTCATGTTTTTGGAGCAAGTTGGGCTTTCTGAGATTCCCAACGTTCCAGGTGTTGGGATGGGGGTTCACACTACCACCCAATGTTGGCAAATTCGCTACCCTCGTGCAACTGGCAAGCAATCAGCCGGCAGGTGTTGGGGTGACCTCAAAAAAAAGGGGTTTGTGCCTCCTTGCCGTGCACTGTTGGAATGCTTGCTTTGGTGTTGGGAGGTCCATTTGGCCGAGAATCCCACGTGTGCTGTTTCGGCTGGAAAGATCCAGCTTTTGAAAGGGGCCATAAAGGCTGATTTGGGACGTGACGTCAAATAGTTTGTGCAATGTTTACATGGCCTGCCATGAAATGGCATTGGGACATGACTGACCTGACATCAAGTAGTTTGTGCCGTTCTTGCATGGCAACTAATTTGTTGAAATTTCAAAGCGACGCAGACGCGTAGAATGCAGAAACAACTGGGTGGCAGCCAAACTGTAGCAAACAACCATCACTTAGTGTGATATTTTCCTAGATTCTCTTAGAGTTCAACACACCCTTGTTTTTTCTTTGGAAAGGCTTGCGCAATCCTGCGCGGATATCCCAGTTTGCACGACCGTACATTAGATCTTGAAGATCAATCAAGACTCAAGACAAGAAGGGGGAAGAAATTGGAGAAAAAGGCGCGGTGAGAAGCAGTGGGGGTTGGTTTCCAGCAAATCAGGGGAAAAAATGATAAACCAGAGCATTTTTTTCCGTTTTTGCCATCTTCCAAGCCAGATTTACAGTAAGCAGAAATTCAAAAAGGGGGGTTCATGATTTCCCACTTTCCAGTAGGCAGATTTGGCACTATGAAGGAAAGGGTTTTTTTTTGACTCATAACCAAATTGGTACCCCATCTGCTATCTGTTTTGCTTGGGACAAACTCTGCCTACCGGATGACCTTGACTATAATTTTGCCATATGTAACATCAGTCCACATAAAAGGAAATTGAGTTGAAGTCATTTAAAGTATGATCTGGTAATATGTGCACGGAGACTCCTGGAACATTTGGAATGAATTAAGCCCATGTTCAGCGGCCAACTGTTGCAACCAGGAAGCAGGAACAGTATCCGGCAGCGTATCACGTGGTGTCTCAACAGCCTAAGCCAGGAACAAACACTGGGAAAATTTTTATCATTTTCACGAAGTGAATTAAGAAACCAATGGCCATATAATGCAAACACACAAACACACACCATTGGACACAATCAGGATGGCCAAACCATGACATAAGGATAAAGGAAAAAGACAATGAAATCCAAACAGTGTTATATAATGCATGTGTTTGGTATCAAGTCATCAAACCAACAATTTTCTTACATATAGTTCCCACCCATCATTTATGGTACATGGTCAAGTGGCCATCTGTTCTTCTAATTCCAACTGCTTCAGCTCAGCCTCCGCTGCCTGCAAGGGTCAGCATGCCAAATTTAATGCGGTTACAATGGGAATTCACTTGGCCCACTAACCTTTTGTGAGCCACAGAAACATTGGAAACAAGGAATCACAGGAGACCCCATGTTTTTTGACAATATTCTGAAGGCTTATATGTATTTCTGGCCCCCCACCTTCTTTTGGGCTTCAAGCTGTTCCCTCCTAGTCACGTGTTCCCTCTTAACCTCCATCAGGGCTTTGGCACCAGCCGCCAAAGAATTGCAGCTCCATTGCTTGGATTTCATCTCCGGTATCAGTGGACTAGAAAATGTGGAACACACGGCCCCAAACCACATCCACCAAGAGACCAAAAGGTTTCCCCTTGAGCCATGGACACGCAGTCAGACATTTGTATAGGGATGAATAGCCCAGTTCAAGCACCCATGTGCCACTCAAGGGTTGTAGAATGTTGTAGACTACAGGACATAAGGTGTTTTTTTCCTGCAGCACCGTACCTCCAAGTTTGGTTGCTATGATTGAATTATATTGAATTGAAACCAGGTCCCTTGGCAAAGCCTTGGATTCTTGTAAAAATTCTTACAAGTTGGTCCAAAATGGTGAAAAAACTGAAATTCTGGGAACCCCTTGCCCTACGGGTAAATTACATAATTTTCTACGCTTTTTTATGGGTTGTCTACGGTCAAATTATGGGTTTTCTACGATTACGTTTTAAATTACGGGTTGTCTACGCCCCATAACCTGGTTTTCCAAGGTTTTGCCAAAAAAATCCTAAATTGTGCAGAAAGCTGCATGAAAGCCTCCAGCAGGAGTTAAGAAAATCCTGCGCCAACCTCGAAGTTTTCAAGGCTTGGAAAGGGAGAGCAAATTGCTACAAATTTAAAGTGCATGGGCCGGTCATCATGACTTATAAGGCATCCTTCCACTCTGATGGAATCTTGATATATCGATTTCCGTAAAGGTAGTTGATGACCTCATTCATCTTTGCATCCAACCAAAAATCACCGTCGTCCATCCCTTTAAAGTACTCCAAGGCATCGAAGGTTGGAGGGGTAGGTGGAATGTTCCGACAAACCGTAGACTGCAGCTTCGGTAAGATTCGGAGGACCTTCAGCCCAAACTTGTAGGTGTACGTCCTCGGGCATTACAGATGGCTGGCCGTTGGGCCAAATCACAACCATGGACCTTGGACCAACCCAAAGTAAAGTTAATGATAGCCATTGCAACATGCAATTTTTACTCTAAACCCATGATATATAGTTTACATAAAATTTATACAACAATAAATGAACCTTGTTCCAACCACATTACCAGTCTGGCCTCCCAAGGAAGTCATGAATAAACTTACATGCACCTGCAATGGAAATTTTCCATAGCTATAGATAACCCGAAGTTTTATAGAAACACAATTGCTGATTTGTAGAGGAAGTGTGCCCCATAAAGTATTTGTTACTAAATGGGATCCCATTCCTTTTTCAAAACCTTTGAGGTGATCAATCAGTAAAATCTGTGAAGCATTTTGAAAAACCAAGGGAAAACATATGCAATTCCTGGTGTTGGTAACCAAGTTTCTGGGATTGTTTCAATTCCTTCTTTTTACCAGCAAATCGCTTGACCCCGTTTTTGTCCACATAGCTACGGCAGGTTTTGTTCCGTTCATACTCCTCAGACTTGTAGTTCCAACCCCGAAGCTTTCCACGATTCAGAAAACCCACCTCTGAGCTGTTGGACCAAGCAATATGTGGCTTTGGAGTTTTGCCACCATACTGTCCCATCCACCATCGGGTGGACCATGCCTGAGAGCGGGCGGTTCCATGAGATTTGTATTGGACCACATATGCTTTATGGATTGAATTTTCACACAATCAGAAAGCCCACCAGTTCCAATAAACCATATATCCGATTGCCTCAAAAAGTGTCATACATACAGGAATTTCATTATATATACATCGTGGTTTGTCAGGAATTTGAAGAAAGAAATCCACCCAGCTTCTCAATCAAGTAATGTATCCGACATAACTGTTGACCAACCAGTATTTGTAATCAACAATTTTTGGTGAAATCAGATGTTTTTACAAAGCACTAAAAGAGGTGACAAACTTGACGAAAAGTTTGTACAGGAACCTTGTCAATCCCATCAAGCTTTCCCATCTGATAATTTGACACTGCAAGGGGCCAGTTTAGTGTTAAACCCAATCAGTGTATATATAGATATATATTTATTACTTATAATATATAATATATACATATATGAATTATATATACATCGAATTTGTTTGTTCTATACATATTTATGTTCTTGAGTATCATGACATGTACAGTATCGTGTTCCATGATTTCCCACCATAACGTAAAGCACATATCTAAAGCATATAATAAACAAATCTTTGAGGAAAAGTGAAAGACAACACAGTACCAATTTGTCGATTGAAGCAGCCCCCATTTGATCACAGAATACTTGGGACACATGCTCAACTTTACTTGGGATACATGCTCACCCCTCCAGGAATTTGGTTATATGTACATTTTCATTCTTTTATTATTAACCAAAGTTAAAGATCCAAATGCCCACATTATCTATGACTTCTAATTTAGGGAGGGCCCATGTTTTGTGAAAGTATGCCAGGGTACTTTGAAGACAGCAAAGGTATCCAAAATCCTTGGGTGAAATCTTAAGATCGAGTTCCGTGGTTGTTCCACCACCCAGCACCCAGACATCATCTCAATTGCCAGGATCATCAAAGCCAGCCTGGGAAGCACGCAGAGCAAGGTGGCTCATGTGAGACCGGGATGGCCCTGTAATGGAGGGAAATGTGCCAATAATCAAAGAATATGCTTTTAAGGGTCACTAATTCGTAGGAACAAACAATTGTGTTTTGATAAAGCAATGAATCCAACCAATCTTAAAATCCAGAACAAATAAGGCCAAAGGAACCGCGATGCCATACAATTGGCTTCTTCAACATAACGGTGATCACGGCCAAGAGGATCAGCAACGCTGCGACCACTAGTCCCCATGTTGACGGTTGTCCATGAAGAACAAAGAAAGCCCATTAGGGAGGTGAATTCTCCAGGTTTTGCATTGAGAATAGCCACCAAACATAACCTGTAGGACATTGCAACATTTCCACAGAAACACCAATCATTGAGTGATTTATTGGAGAGTTACAGATGAGAGGTCCAATGTTTAACCAGCTGGATTCCAGAATCTATATACATTATAAGGGTCTAAAGCTTACTTGTACATCAAAGTTAAACTTATAAGGGGTCCCAAACAACACACACACATATACATACTGAAGTTCAACCAATGGTACGAAAATCCTGAAGGGGTCAAGACATCATAATAGTTGGTGCTATGGCGCCCACTTGGATCTGGCTCGAAATAGTCTATGTCCAGTGAAGCCACATTGCGTCCAGAATGAGATACCACCCTGCTTACCATAGCTTCTCCAGCCCAGAATTCCACGAATTGGAAGGACTGGCAGGGCCGGCGCATAAATAACATGTCAGCATTCATTAATCATGAACATTTTGCAGGGTACTTTGTGGCACCAAAAGAAATGTGTTTACATAGTTTGTGTATATATAGGTATACAAAGAGAAAAAGACTATAATGGTATAAGAAGGACAACACTTATTTTCAATAAGACAATCTCATCCATCATCAATATTTTCATGTGGGCTCAACAATAGATTTATTTTCTCACATCCTTCATATATGCAATTCTCTTGGACAACATTCTGTGTGGACAAAATTGCTCTGGTCATATATGCACCCATATATTCCAATGCTCCACCAGCCTCGGTAAGGGTCGGTACATTTCTCGACCAAAGGAGTAAGAGAATTGCCACTACCATCACCTGCAAAGGTTCTGCACAGTAAGTATGTATCCCCAATTGGAAATCACATTGAAGCCTATTCAGTGCTCAAATTCCATTTCCAGTTTCCAGATATTTCCAGCCTTCGGGGCATTCACATGTTTCAACCGCCAGACAATGTCACGAAGAATGAGCCCCATGGTGCTAGTGATCCCAGTCACCAGCTGTTTCTGCAAGCCAAATGCTTCTGCATGTTTTGTCAAATCATGTAAGGATCAAATGCACATACTGACGACAAGGGGTGTGATTGATGGCCAACCAAGTCTTACCAAAACCAGAAAACATACATGTCCACTTCCACTCACTTTCACGGCATCACATCACAGGTTGACTGGTGTGACCAATATTGTTTTTGTATTTGTTGTGGTCCCTCATGGATCCACTCTGGATTCATGTTTATAAACATGTAGTTGTTTTTTGGCAACATCGTTGGTGAAGAAATCAGATCAAAAAAAAGTAACAAATGTCTGTAAACATCCAATAGTTTTGCATGTTCAATTTCATCATCCACCCCAAAACGACCACAGATTGTAAAATAGCCAGGCCCACCAGAGATGTCATTGGCACAGCCTGCTAGCCTGACTTCCCAGGCCTTTCTTTTACCCATGGTTCAACCTCGGAGCTGCACGGCATCAGGCAACATTGAATGGATGCTGGGGGGAGCCAAGGGTCTCTATAGAAATCATCCTGAATTTATAGCTGCATTTACTGTATATATATACATACATGTTGAATTCCAATATTATAGTATAGAATCTTAGATGGGGGTTAAAACAATGACAAAACCAGGTTCAATATTACATATATATATATATATACATATACAAATTATTTATTTACAATTATACATATACAAACCTCCATGTCAACAAATACTGGGTGGATGGATTCATGATGGGAACCCTGTTCCAAAGTGATTGGACGCCTTTTCATTCACATGGCCACTTCGCATAGCAGGATTAAGGGGCGAAGGTTGCAGAGACACCTGTAGGTGCATAGACCAATTGGAACAAGACACCGCCCAGTGCCAATGCTGGAAATGAAAGACTTGTATATGTATAGGGTTTATATTATTAATATTTGCAATGGGAAATGATGTGACATTTAAATCCAATACTATTTAATATAGACAGACTTAAAATATGTTCCATTGGATTTGTACACTTGTAGAAAATCACCAGGGCCTATGGACGATGAACTTGTTCCTCCCCGGGATTGTGACTACTACAAGTCAATCTGCACACCAGCTGACCCTGCCCGCTAAGATACAATGGGCCAACAAGACCAGACATATCATGTATAACTCCAGCTGCCAGTTGGCAGTTCACAGTAATATGGGAACACCCCCACGAAGCTCACAAATGGAAAACAGAAACGTTGCCTCACATGGTGATGCATGAAATTGGTTGTTGAATCAGGAGTCTTTTAACATTCAAATGTTCAAGGGTTTTCCTTCGAAAATTTCTCAGCAAAATCTTCGGGCTTCTTCCCCATGAAATGCATCACTGAAATGTCCTTGACCAACTCAATCAACGCATCTTTGAAGGCGATGGCTTCTTTCGAATCAGCAGCGATCTTCAGGTGGCTCGCTGGGTTGTCGCCACCAACGTACTCCACCTTGCATGCACACATATGATAGGAATTGGCAACAAGCTATGACTGATTGCTCAACTTGTAAAAGCAGCTATCATCAAGAACAGCCACAGAGAGTTCTGCCTAATTCCATCGTGAGTAAGAATCACACACACATTAAGATGCACACTTTTATACCCGAATTTTGTTTAATGCATAGTGCACCAAAAACATGTCTGGCACACCAGTTAACACAACAGAATCTCGGTGGACACATTTCCTATAAGGCAATATAGGTGGGCATTGCATACTGGTGTTAGAACAACCAATATAATTTTAGAATTTTGCTTTTAAAGAACATACCATCCCTATCACAGTTAGTCCCAACCCTTCAGGCACTGAAATGTGTTTTGCACTCTTATGGGTCAACTAAGTTGCGAACAAACATTCGACAAGCTTGAACTGGCATGCCAATCGAAGGGCAAAAGTTGCCACCAAAGCAGAGGACATGCTTCCACCCCTTCTCCTTCCTCTGGAGCAAACCCACACGATGATCTCCCCAGTACATAGACAAACTCCAGTAGCTGAACTTGGGTGTGTCATGCTTGTCCTTGTACTGATCAGAAATGGACTTGTAGAGCTTGGTCAAGAATAGCCATTCAGCTGGGTCCTCAGAGGCCTCCTCAATGTGGAGTAAGGCTTTGGTCTGAGCATTCTTTCCATTCAACAACCGGTGAGATGGATCAAACCCGCCATCCTTTGACCCTTCCCCCTTCTCTTTCTGCTCCCCACCTTTGACCTTGGGTTTGGCCGCAGCCTTCCTTTTTGCCTTTGCCTTGGGCATGGACTGAGTCGGCTGGGCCTCTTCAGCTGGGTTGGGTTCTTCGGCTGGCGCTGGCTTGGGTTCTTTGGCTGGCACTGGCTTGGGTTCTTCGGCTGGCTTGGGTTCTTTGGCATCTGAAGGCAAGGATGGAACAGACTTGGTCTTGGCTTTGGGGACCTTGAGTTTCTTCTGAGGCTGTTTCACTGGTGGTGAAGGTTTGGAATCAGCATCAGCACCTCCCAAATCATCACCAAAAAGGGTTCGTCGTTCAGGGGTGGCTACTGGTCTCTTCGAAGCAGTGGTCTTGGCGCGACGCTTGGGTGGGGACAGCAGGTTCTGCTCATCAACCTTGTCACCAACAACAGCATCGATCTCACTATCTCCCATATCCTTCTTAGCCTTCTTAGCTCCTCGACCCCTCCCGCGACCTCTTCCTCCAGCACGTCCACCACCCTTCCCTTCGGTCCCATCCCCCTTGCTACTCTTCATGTCCTCCTT